TCAAAGAAATTTATACACTTTGCATTATGAGCAGCTATTATTGTATCGACAGTACAAAGATACTGCAATCAAGGTTCTTGTTGTTCTTCATGGTGATGCTGTTGTGTTTCCACTAACTCTTCTGAGTAACACCRATGCAGTGCTTTTCAGCAAACAAAAAAAGATTCTCTAATTCATGCGCCGAGTAGCTGGGCCCTCCGTTAGTTTTTAAGGAAGACAGTCACCAACMAAGATCAGGGATTCCCATAGGTTTTTCCATGTTATAACAAAGAGAAACAAAGAGAGAATTGCCCAGGCAATATTCTCTTCTTTGTTTCTCTTTGTTAAGAATCGACGAATCAAAGAAGAGAAACAAGGAGAAGCAATATTCTCTTTGTTTCTCTTTGTTTAAACATACAGAAACAAAGATAATATTGCCTGGGCAATATTCTATTTGTTTCTCCTTGTATGAATGGGAATTGCTCCCATCATTTCACTATGTAAAAATACAGAGAATAGTGCCCAGGTTTAATTGACTCTGCTTAAACAAAGAGAAACAATGAGAAAATAACCCAGGCAATATTCTCGTTGTTTCTCCTTATTTAAACAATGTGAAACAAAGAGAAACAAGGAGAGGCAATGTTCTCTTAGTTTCTCTTTGTTACAACAACGAGAAACAATGAGAATATTGCCCTTTCTAACAAAGAGAATTATTCTCTTTGTTTCTCCTTGTTTCGCGGGGTGTACGGGAAACTATTTAATTTTTTTGAAAATTCTAACTGAGGGCCCAGTAGCAAACTGGAAAAGTTTTTAAATAGCTGAACTTTTATCAGTTTTATGATTATCTTCAATCAAATTTATCAACTACTTTAGATAGTTCGCATAGTCATTGAAGATCACTTTTCACTGGAAAAAATCGAGATCAACCTTAATGGAGATTCTACGCGTTGAAAAATGGTGTACTGTACTTAGTATCATTGTCTTTTCCTATTCTTTGTTGCAAGTAATCATTCGATAACGAGTTACGGATAATTATCAAATAGCTGTACTTCAGCGTCTTCGTCGACGCCGTGATTCGCTTGCCTTGGCTACGTGTTTCGCATTCGATGCCAAATAACCAGCGGGTGGTCTGAGCTTCTGCGCCAAACCTCCATGTGCTGTAAAAAAGTTCCTCCAATACTGCGCACCATCTGTCTTCCCTGATAGCCAGTGAAGAAACATAGGGTTTTGTTTCGATTCTTCCACTATTTCCGCTTTCAGCCCTAATACATCCATACAAGCTCTTCGATACTCTTTTTCCTCGTCAAGAGAAATTTCATCACTTATGTGATCTGTAACATGCCCCCCCTTTATCAAGTGCTCATATGCATCTTTCAATTCACGAAAGTCTAACTTATGGTCGTCTTCTTTCACATCCGGATGGCATAATTTCGCTGCCTCGTAGTAAGCTTGCCTCAATTCTATCACCGTAGGCTTGGAGTCTGTGGAAAAGCCTAGCATTGATTTTGCCCTGCTCGTCGTCACTTTAAATCTGAACTGATAGGCTTGATTCCGATGCGACCAAGTGTCATGGAAAGTTGGGTTTCTCGAAACAATTGCCCGGTAAGGAAACAGTCTCCTCATTTCCGAAAAACGTTCCATTATYTCGGTGTGCAATTGGAATCACCGATGCCTTGGTGAACGTTGCTCTCCTGTTTCCTCACTTCTTGAGAACCTGACGATATGTCTATGTGCAATCAATGTTGCAAAATGGCAATATTGACGCCCTACTATTGCTATGCGCAAAGCATGTGACCACCTCCTAGCAACCGTCCTCCATTGCGAGAGACCAGTTCTTAGCACAGGAAAATCTATTTTTTGATTGTGACGTTCTGATTCTGTGTCATTTCATCGGGCAGGTATTTTGTACGATTAGAACGTACGGTAGAACCGCATTTTTCTTTTTTTCGTAAAGGTTTTGTCTACCATATGAATCATACCTACACTAGATAAGTACGATACGATTGAAGGAGGGAAAGCTCCTTTTGGATAAGGTGACAGGATCGCCCAAGCATCAACAAAAAGTTCCCTCGAGRAGACGGTCACTCGGTATTGATGAGATTCCCAAAGATTGTTCCTAACACGCCATTGGTTCAAGAGTACTCGTAGTATTCAGTGTGGTGGCGAGAACTCTGAATTGACTCCAGTCTCCTATGTTTGATAATGTTYGCTGAAGAACTAAGCGGTAACGCCAGTCGTAGGCGACAGGATGCTAACCGGGAGAGACGTCGAAAACTGAAGCAGGAACAGCAAAAGAAAGCCCAGCAACATAAAAACGAAGAAAGGAAAAAGGAACATTCAAAGGAAACTTCAACGATAAAGACAACGGCAACAGCGACAACAGCGACAACAGCGACAACAACAACAGCGAAATCAACATCAATCGCACCGAAAGTTGGAATTGATGATCCAACCAATAATGTGAATTTCTCATCTGTCGACAAGAAGCTCTCTGCCGTGGAGATCGCCAACGCACAACGCCAACAACGGCATGAGGCGCAGGCCAAAAAGAAAGCGTCTACAAGGATACAATCCTTTTACAGGGCCCATAGGTCAAACTGTTTGTTGCTTTCTGAMCAGACCGCTCTTCTAACAAGCAGATTACAAGATTTGCATACATTGAGGGGTATTTTGAAAGCAAAGGCAAATACAAATTATATTCCGCCTCCAGCTACTTGTACGGCGTTCTGCCAACAGGTTCTCTTTTTGACTCAATCCATTCCTTACAAAGTAAAGGCAAGTCAACGCTGTGAGATCTTTACGAAGATCCGAGATAGTGGTAGAGACTCTAGATTAATACAACAAATCTATGATTGGGTCTTGATTCCTGGGCTTTCGTCTCCAGACGAGAACGTCAACCCATTTGCTGTATGGCTGCAGTCGCCAAACGGAATGAAGCGAATGAAATCTATGATTAGGCTGGCTTTATTGACATGCACAGATCCGTTGGTGGACTCAGCGGTACAGAAATCTTGTCTCGACTTTTTGAAAACTATAACAATACCAAAATCGATTGGGAATGCAACAACTCGCAACTCTGCGAATGATAGCACCGCTGCTATCATTGAATTTTGCCGTGCCCACTTATTGCCAACGGACCGRCCCAACGACCAARCGATAGCAACACAAGGAACTMCTCAAAACTTTATCTCGAAAAAATCCGCCCCTTTGGATTTGATATTGTTGTTACGGCATCACTTGGTATATACKACGGGTGGGGCACCTATTCCGTCAACKTCTTCAAAGCTTCGAGAGTCGTGTATATCCCCGAAAGAACGAGCCCAAGCAGACGCCCTCTTCCAAACTGTGCTGGCAATCATTCAAAATGAAGACTTYATTAAAAGTATGCATGCATCCATGATATCACGATTCGTTTCAGAACTTCTTACCATCCCCCTCTTGACATGGAAACTTTCCGATGCATCCACAAAACAGATCTTTGCACTTGTTAAATGTAAATCTTCRCGGAAGGATGTCCGACAGCCATTTCTCATAGTTTTGATCGASCWTTTTAYCAGTGTCCACCTGCAAATAATGAATGCCGGTGAYATTGAAGCGGTTTTGTGCGAAGATATTCCTCTGAAGAAATCCAGTGCTACCCCTATTCAGTGTCTCTTGGCCAACATGGTCCAGATCGGCAGTTCTTGTGCACTGATAAATGGGTTGCAACGTGACAAAATGAATTTCGAAGCTTCTGTCRTATATTTTAGATTTCTGGCCACGCTCGTCGATGCAATGCCAGTCAGTACCTTTTCTTCTTCTCGAGACTCTGTAGTGGAGTGGGTCACTGACGGTGGACATCATTCTCCGGTTGTGATATCTCCTATCATTCTAGAACATTGCCGCACATTGCTGACTGACAATTTCGTCCGAAGGCTATTTCTGTGTGCAATGGACCCAATTCGTTTTGGAACAAACGAGATATTGAAAAAGAAAACCGACAAGGATCTGAAAATGGAAAAAGAATTATCCGAAGTAAGGAGTAGCAGCGTAGCATCCTTAGCAGCGAAGGAGGCACGGGTTGATCGAAATAAATCTTTTTGGAAGTCGAGTGCCTGGGCACGGGGCTTGACTAAGGTTTCAAAAATGTTCAACGGTTCTCAAAAGGGTGCTGGGAACAAAATCAAGAAYTCCTCTGGCGAGGGCGGGAAACTTATCGATGCGTCAGCTGTTTCAAGGCGGTTGGCGATGGAAGGTGGTGACAGTAGGTCGGCRAATTTTGAATCTRTAGCTGCCATATCATCGCTGTCCACCACGTCGTCCGATAGTCGGAAACCGTCATCGTACAGTCCAGAATTATTCAAGGTTCTCTGTGGTTTGTATGGAATCATTCTTGCGCGATGGGGTGGGAGCGGTAGAGAAGACATCGTCCGTCAAACAAAAATAACGARAAAAGGTTCAAAGAAAGAGATCGCAACTTCATCGCAARAACCTTGTACACTGAATATTTTGAATGTTCTTTGTTTTTCAACAGATTTTTTGCGTTTCTCCTGGAGTATGATGCAATCTGAAAAGAACTCCTTCACTTGCGATCGGCAGCCTATCAAAAGCATGTCAATTCGTCCGGCATACGAGAAAAGAGGGCAGGATTCCYTGGGTGTTTTTTATTTATTTATTGAAAGCMTCACGCATCAATTGATTCTCACCGATGACACGGAAATCCATGACATGGACCGACCGCTGCCTATACATCAACTCCGGCGGTGCATAGTCACACTGAAACAACTACTGTACAAAGCATGCTGTATTGATGAAGCTAATTCATTAAACTCAGAATCCGAGCACGTTGCTCTAGAAGCAAATTATTTTGGTTTGGCTTTGATCAAGACTTCGTCGAAATGCCTGTGGGACCTTTACGATCGCTCGAGTCGCAGATTGATTTGCGTGCCCAATCTTTGGATCATAGATGATTTGATGGAGAAAGAGTTGCGAGCATGTAAGACAGAAAGTGACTATGTTTCTTTGTTGAGCGCTCCGGTATTGAGGGTTTGTCCGTTTCTTGTATCTTTCAAGCGWCGTTTGCGTTTATTCGAACGAATCGTTTACACAAACCGAGTTACAATCCAAGGAGAGAACAGTACGAATCCTTTTCACACGAATCCATTGAAACCAGGTATACCGGTTCGCATTACTCGCGGCCGTGTTCTGGAAGAYGGTCTTGTGACAATGAATAATCTCGGTAGAGACATGCGCCGGCGAATAGCTATCCAATATTACAATGAGGCTGGCGCGAAAGAGTCTGGTATTGATGCCGGGGGTTTATTCAAAGAGTTTTGGACAGATTTGTGTGCCATTGCCTTTGATCCAAACTACGCTCTATTTCGYGTAACAGAAGATAATTACATGTATCCGAACCCATCTTCTGGCGCAGCTCATGGCCTCGCTCATATTGATCTYTTCAAGTTCTTGGGACGGATTCTGGGCAAGTCGCTATACGAGTCTATTACAGTCCATCCTCAATTTGCCCACTTTTTCCTGAGCTTTCTTCGTGGCGATTATAACTACCTTCACATGTTTTCTGATTTGAGTACGATTGACCCCCAACTCTACAGCAACTTGATGTTCCTGAAAACATACGATGGAGATGCYGAAGACTTGTGTTTGAGTTTTACTGTGTCCACAGAAGAYTTTGGTGGAAAAAAAGAAATTCCTTTGATTCAGAATGGTGCAAACATTGATGTTACCAATTCGAATAAGCATCGCTATATTGGTAAGTGYWAATATGATAGCTAAAACGGAAGCTTGTTTGTTTCATCAAAACTTATTWTTTYAATCCCTGAAAATTCTTCATTTTCTGWAYATAATCACATCCGCAGGTCTCATCACAAAATATTACGTAGTCGATCGAATGAGGGAACAATCCGAAGCCTTCACTCAAGGCTTGTGGGAGGTCATTGATAAGTCTTGGTTACATATTTTTAATGAGCCCGAACTCCAGGTTCTGATCAGTGGTGCAAGCGATGGAAAGATTGATGTCGATGACTTGCGAGCWAATACACATTATGCTGGTGGATTCACCAGCATYGACAGAAATGTTGTTCGCTTTTGGAGTGCATTTTCAAGTTTGACTGGCAAGCAGCAGGCAGGTTTGCTCCGTTTTGTAACGTCGTGTGAGAGACCACCACCTCTRGGGTTTGCAACTCTTATTCCACCGTTCACGATTCAAAGGGTGGGTATATCGAGGGACGGAGACAAGCTGCCWTCGGCATCCACTTGCTTCAATGTTTTGAAGCTTCCGACGTATAGCTCAGAGAAAGTGATGAAGGAGAGATTAATATATGCAATCGAATCAGGAGCAGGTTTTGAGTTGTCCTGAGAGGTTGATAACATTTACCAGCAATGAAAAAAACTTAGGGATCAGAATGGAAGAAGCAACGTTCAAACACGTAGATCTTGCTATCAGCGTAGCTACTTTAATTTTTTGCTGCATGATCATTTAATAGTACTGTAGTTGTCAGACACTCGAAACGGTTTACAATCTGCTTGTCTGCATGAGTTACTACTACATGAATTCTTGGTGAAATAGTGTACCATTGTGTCTAATTTTGATTTTTTGCCAAGTTCTTGACTCTTCGTTCTTATTCCGAGAGCTTGGGACCACGTATTCATCTATTTGTAATACTTTGGGTCAAAATGTAGAACAGGGGACATGATGCATTTAAAAATAAATATTCATGCCAGAGATTTTAAATTCTCCCCAGGGTGATTTGCCATATTTCTTCTCTTCAAYGTTGTGGAGTTCCTCTGTTTGGCACTCACATGGCACATAGGAGATCCAATGGCAAAGGCCAGCTGTCCAATATTTGGAGCAACAAATGAAGTCATTGATTACAGGATAATTGCAATTGATATCCAAACCAGTTGTATCACTGAATGGTTTGATAACTGTCATRTTTCTCCAGAGAAGTATCCCAAAACTCTGAACCCACCAGTCATTCATTTCCAATCAGAAATTGAATGTCAGCACCTATTTACAGGACATGATGTCTCTCAGCATTGGATTACCTATCCCTTTCTCCATCCAAGTAATTATTCTCCAGATATGGTAGGAAGCTAGTACTTTATAGAGTTCTTTCTGAATTCATATTTTTCTTATGGGAGTTGCAAACAAATACTTTTATGGCCACTCCCTGTCCCAGAAACAAGCCCTGCAACAAGAAGGGTCAACCAGGTGAGTAAAAATATTCAACCCCCCAAACAAGATAGTATGTCCATCACATGCACACCTCTTTCCAAAAGATCCTCCTGAAGCTTTCCTCACTTGCACCACCAGCATTTGCATGAAAAACATTGCTGCCCCTACTTAAGTTTGTAATATCCACCTGGTCACTGATTTTTTACCAGTAAACAACCCCCTGAAGCAGAGTGTTACAGAAAATAAGCTGATGTTTGATGCATGTCAGTCATTAAAAAAGTCTGTTCTCTATCTCCCTGCTTTCCTTGTCAATCAGTCCCACCAAACACAAGCTATCAGACAGATCAATGCCTATTGGAACAACTGCCCATCCATGATCCTTTCTGATTGTTGTTCTCTGTATTTTCTTAGTATTTCTCCCTAACAATTCTGTAATACATACGAGAACACAGCAAGTTAGTACTATATACTAGTATATAAAAAGTTGATCTGTTGTAGTACTAGTAGTACTAGTAGTCAATTCAAATTAGTACATTTCACCTTTTGAACTACAAGCAAGAAGAGGTAGCTAGTACTGGAGAAAGCAAGACCAACTCCTTGTGCAACCTGACTCTGTTCACCTCCTTACTAGCTACTAATAATAATGCTAGTAGTACTTCTTGTTCTACTGGTGGTGCACACTAGTATTACTATTGTAATGTACACTCTCATTGTAGTACACACCTTGTACTGGTACAAGTATGTATGTACATAAGTAGTATGTACCTTTGAGGTACAGTGAATTGGACTCTGCAAACTGTAAAAGACAAAYCATGGAAGTCAAATAGAATTAAAGAAGTACCAAAATAGTCATTAGTTGACTGGAATTGTCCTTCTGCTGGAGCTGGGGAGGAGTTTGAGGGGGAGAACAAGAATAACGTAAAAAACATGGTATCAATATCTTTTTAATGTAGAGCATGATGTACTACTAGTAGGTTGACCATTGTTTTCTTAAGAAATATAAAGTTACAGAAATGAGATGCTGCTGGCGTGTGATGCTTTTGCTGGTGATATGCTATTCAAAATTTAACTTCCACTTGCAGTGCACCACAAAAGACTAAGCATGAAAGTCAAAACAATCATAAAAAAGACTAAAACAGTTTTGACTGTAATTGGTTCTCAAAGAGGAAGAAGGGGGTCTAGGAGTTGAATTTTGTAGAAACATGGTATACTCATCGTCTTTTAAGTCCTCATATACTAGCCAGTAGGGTTATGAAATGTAGTAAGAACACCAGCAACAATGAGAACACCACCCGCCCATTGTTGTACTACTAGTAAAACAGGAGCAATAATAAAATTACAGGAATGAGATGCCAGCATATAGTACTACTACTACTAGTAGTACTAGTAGTAGTACTAGTAGTACTAGTATAACAAGAAACTTGTTTGTAGTGTACTAGTAGTAGTACTAGTAGTACTAGTATAACAAGAAACTTGTTTGTAGTGGCACAAGAAAACAAGAGGCAGCAGTGCAGTTAAGAAACTTGTTTGTAGTGGCATGCAACAACAAGAGTGCAGAGGCTTCTCATCACCAGGTTGACCTCTCCCTCTCTGGGGGTGGGGGGGGGACGCTTAAGCAGTACTACAGTACAGTCATGCAGTACTAGTAGTAAGGGGGATGCTTAAGTACTAGTAGTACTACTTGCACTAGTAAAAACTACCTACGGTACGGCTGGTACCTCTTCGCTAGCCTAGTACGTACTCGTACTCCAGCACATCGACTTTCTCCACAGCCTCGATGCTCGAAGCAGACCAATCCATATTATATTACGTACTACTCGTACGTACGAATGGACGGTACATACTCATTCTGTGCTTGCATTGAAGATTGTGATCCAAAAAATAATCAGCGCCGTCCATTTTCAAATTTTGATGTTACAGTACCAGGTAACGTACAAGTTAACGGTACGTACGTGTAAGTTACGAGTTAATGTGGCACCGCTTGTGTTGTTGGACTATGCGACCCTTTGACATTGGATGCCAAAGATTTTCCAAACACTCGTCWCATCAAAGGAGTTTACAAGTTCCTTCAATTTGGCACAGATCGACTCAATTTTTCCGTCGTTCGAGCGCAAATCATTACCATGATGCCCAGTATAAGTCTCTTCGTGCTTCTCCTTCTGACGGCTCAAGTTCTCGTCCCGGTATTTGGCTTTTCCTCGATCGCCGACAGTCGTCACCACAAGAATCTTAGCTCTCGAAAGCCCCACGTCGGATGGACTACTGCAACTACCGCTGCAAATGCGGTTGGCTCGAAGAGTGTTGCGGAAACTGTCGATCGAAATGTTTTTAAGGACTATGATGGACCAATCGTCCTCATGGGATGCTCTTCCGACGAGGGAAAAGAAATACATCGCTTGGCCGAATCCTTTTTGTCTCAATATTACCCCGACGTAAATAAAGACGAAGGAATCATAAGCGCATCGCCTTCGTCGGACTTCAACGATGAAAAMWTTTTATCTCTAACATCGAGCGGGAAGGCTGGAAAGCAACCTAATATTGTGGTGATGGACTTTTCGGGACTGCAGGCGGAACGAGAAACCCGATTCGTCGAAATGGCGGAAAGCGTTTACGCAGAGAAAGGGCTCCTGTCCGTTTACGTCAATGTTGACGCATCCAGTACATCTACGATGGCTGATGACAGCAAGGACATCAAGAGCCGTTTGGAAGAGGATGTGTTCGTCAAATATTCTGACTACGAGTTGTGTATCAAGAACGAGGGAACAACGGCACAACAAAATTGGGAGCACATTGAATGGGAGCTCGCAAGGCTTATAGCACGTGCACGCCTGGCTCCGGCTATCCCTGGCGCATCCACACCATCAACAAACACGGCACACCTAAGTATGGGCGAGAACACTTTCTTCCTGTCCCTTAGTTTTCCGGAAATCAACCAGGTGGAACCATACGTCGAAGAAATGTGCGTCGACGTTGATGCCATGGAATATCGAACTGATCTATTGTCGTGCAGAGATTCTCGCTTTGATTTAATTTATGGAATGCAACTCCTACGGAGRTACTGCCGACCACATGTAGTACGATCACCTGCACTGCCAGTGTTTGGACAAGTACTAGAGGACGTCATGCCAATTGTCTACACAGTACGAACAGAACATCAAGCAGGAACTTATCCGGACGACGAAGACGGCATTTCGAAAATGTTTGATATTTTAGAATGGGGATTGCGGGGTGGAGTGGAGTGTTTGGATGTTGAAAGCGCATGGGACAAGGATAAAACGGATGCACTTTTGAATAGAGCAGAGGAAAAGTATTCAAGTCAAATTCTTGGCAGCCACCATGTTGTAGGAACCGAGATTTCTACGGAAGAGGCTGTTGGCCTTTTCCAGCAATGTGCCCTGGATGGTAGAGCTCATGGTGCAAAGGTAGTGTTGTCGATTGAATCACAAGACAAAGACAAAATGGCACATCAGGCCGCTCTTTTGTCCGCATCTCTTTCTGCCCGGGATGGTAAGCCCGTCATCCCCAACGTTTCGTTGATCCTTGGGGATGTCGGGCAGTTTTCCCGCATCATCAACTTGCCTTTCACGCCTGTGACTCATGAATCTCTACCRTTCAAGGCTGCCCCAGGTCAGCTATCGGCTAGCGAGATTATGGCGACTAGGGTTATCACAAAGATTGTCACTACGAAACGTTATGCAATTCTTGGACATAACATCGCATATTCGGTCAGTCCTCAAATGCAGGGCGCAGCATTTGCTGCCGCCAGATTACCACATCAGTACGGACGTGCAGATGTAGAGACCGTTGAAGAGTTTGTTGAATCTGACTTTTTCAAAGATGACGCCTTTGGTGGATGCAGCGTCACCATTCCGCACAAGCAGTCCATCATTCCTTATGTWGATGTCATGAGTGATGCGGCTTCTACCATTGGTAGTGTAAATACATTGGTTGTGCAAGAGCAACTCGACGACGCGGGAGATAGCATGAAACGAGTTATTTTTGGAGACAACACGGATTGGAAAGGAATCTTTAATCCATTGGAACGAAAAATTGGCGTGCGAACGGAAGACGAAGGATCTGGTGATTATGCCTTGATTATCGGTGGTGGAGGTACTGCCCGGGCAGCAGCATATGCGGCATCTAAACTAGGCCTCAAGCGTATCTATTTCAATAGAACTCCGTCAAAGGCACAAGATCTGTCGGACTCTTTCGGTGGAATCGTTGTCACTAGTCTCGAAAGCAGTTCGGATGAAGCAAGCGAGGGAAAAAGTCTTGAGGACGTGTTGCCAGATGGCGCATCGATAAAGGTTGTTATTAGTACTTTGCCAGCTGCCGCTGAGTTTGTCTTGCCAAAATGGCTATTGGAAAAGAAACCCGTTGCCTTTGATGTGAACTACAAACCGTAYCACACGAAATTGCTGACTCAATGCGAAGAWGCTGGCCTTCAAGTTGTCAGGGGATCTGAAATGCTCTGGGAGCAAGGTGTGGGTCAGTTTGAAGCTTGGACGAAAAGGACAGCTCCCTACGCTGTCATGAAGAGCGTGGTTTTGCAGAATTGTATCCCACAGGAGGAATAATCTTTTTAGGTACCGTACGGACCGCAAAAGTTTTGACTTTGCGAGTGCATTGAAATATTGCCAAGGCTTAATCCAATCACATTTTTATTTTAAGATTGGTTGCTTTGGGACTTTTCTGAACAGAAAACCAAGGTATTTATTATAGATGATATCAAACGCTAAATAAATCTACTTACGAATCGAGAATCTAAAACAGTCAATTTCTAATTTAACTTCCCCTTAAGGAACAACAATAAACTCGTCTACGGCAGACCTTCCGCACGCAAGTGCAGCAGCGCTCAAGTGYAGGGCACCGCKCAAAGAATCGAAGAATCGGGTGAGCGAGCCTGGAGATTCTTGCTAGGATTCATGCGGTTTCGCTCTATTCCRCTGCCACAAAGGGGCTACTAAAACGCCGACCAGGTATTTCTGCGCACCAGTCCTCTCGGTTTTGGAAAGGGATGGAGCAGAGTCATCTTCTTGGACTGTGCTTCCAGTGCCTGGTTTGCTTGCAGCACCTTTTCCCTTTCTTCGAAGAGGAGTTTTTGCTCCTCGCTCAAGAGTTCTGGCAGCTTTAGGAGATCGGTGGCACACGGTCTTTCTKGATAGGTTGGGTTCATCATTTTCTTGATGATCTGGAAGAGCTCGTTCGKCGTGTACGGCGGCRGCACGATGCACCCCGATCGCAGCGCCCGCCACTCGTCTCCATTGGGTGGCAGGGCTTTCGTTCGCCCCAGACAAACCTCGTAGACGGCAATTCCGAGCGAAAAAATGTCGCTCTTCGTCAGGTCTTTGTGGTCCCCCGATAAGAGTTCCATGGACATRTAGCGCGAGTCTCCCTCTTCGACGTCGTGCGACGAAACCTTTGACACCAATCCAAAATCCCCCAGCTTGAACAGGCCGTTTTTCAGCTGCACGAGCCGACCCATTGTCCGCAACAAAACAATCGGCATTGGCGTTTGGGACAGCGGCAACAACAAAGCAAAAAAAAAGAAAGAAATCAAAAGACAGGCGTGAGAAATCACCGGAAGCAACCTCAACCCGCGCGGGGAACGGACTTTTGTCCGGTCGTGTTTTTTGCTGTATTGAATGGGACTCACGAATATGTTTTCCGGCTTGATGTCCAGGTGGACCATTTTGTTCCCGTGGATGAACTCCAGGGCCAGCAGTATTTCCCGCAGGCACTTGAAGCGTGTCGTCGTGTCCAGTCGTCCCGGCGCGGCCTCTTGCATCGCCGCCTCCAGGGTGGTGGTGCAGAGCTCGGTCTGGATGTAGAGGCGCTGTTCCTCCATCCAGGCCTGGTGGTACCGCACGATGTGGAAGGTGGCCGTGTCGGACTGGTCRCTGAGGGCGGAGAGCGCGTAGACCTCCTTGAGCATCCGGTCCCGGTCGCTGTTTCCCTTGGCGACGCGGTGGGCGACCTTGATGGCGTACATGCATCCGTCGAGTCGCGAGAGGGCCTTGAAGACGTTCCCGAARCTCCCGCTCCCGAGCTCGTCGATGACGTCGAAATCGGAGTGGAACCGCGAGGGGGGCCGGGGGTCGCCGACCGCTGTTTCCGGTCCCTGGTGCCTGCTCCGGTGGCGGTTCGCTCCCCCTCCGCCGYTGCCTTCGTCGCTGCTGTCGTCCCCGCCGAATCCCGTTCCGATTTCCCCGAACCTCCGGACCATCCTCGGCTTGGGGGTCCGGGGCGGCCCGGGGGCCCTGCGGATCGGGGTGTACTTCCGCAGCGGCGGCCTCCGGGCGGGCTTGGAGGGAGCCGGTGGGACCGTCGAGGTGTCCGGGGGGGAGGCCCGGAAGTGCGCCGGAAAACTGAGAACGTCCGTGGGGCTGACGTTGTCGTCGCAGGGGTGGTTCTGGAGGCCCAAGCGGTTCGGTGGTTGCTGGTTGTAGTAAAAGGTCTTGTGCTCCGGGCCGCTTCCGCTGCTGCCGTGGGCGCTGTAGAATCCGTAGCCATGGGTGTTGCTGATGTTGTCGTTGCTGCTGTTGTTGTTGCTGTTGTAGATGCCGATGCTGCCGTGGTTTGGATCGGTGCCCGTGTGGACGGTCATGTCCGTGCGTTTCCAGGAGGATTCTCCCTGGGCCGCSACGACGTCGTCGCCCCTGCTCCGCCTCCGGACCTTGTGGAGGTTGGCACGGAACCCGGCCTCGGTGGTTGGCTCGCGGGGAGGAAGGGCCGGTGGCTTGGCGACTCCCTCCTTGATGGGGGATCCCGTAAAGGAATACCGGCCCGTCCGCTCGGGGTACCCGTTGCGCGTGTAGAGGGAGGCCTTTTGCTCGATCGAAGAGGGGGCATCCCCCGCGTGCGGCCCCGCGTGCGGGGGTGGCACCAGGCCGGACACGCCCATGCCCACCGGCTCCCCTTGCCGGATCGSTTGTGCCTTTGGAGGATGGCAGGGGCTGTTGGTCCCCCGCTTGTGGAGCTTGTGCCTCGGGACCAGGTGGGTCCCCCTCCGGTCCTCGCTGAGGGAATCGGTGGTGAGGAGGAGCGGGTGGCCGAGGCCCAGCGCCGYYGGTGCCCCCCCGGAAGCGCTGGGAACGACCGGGAAGCGGACCGTCGGGGTGAGTTTCTCGGAATCGAAGATCATGGGGGAAAAGGGGTTCTTCGACTGGACCGTCCTCCCGTCCATGGTCTGGAAGTGCGAGGGGGACTTGTGGCAGTGGAGCGGCGGCGGGTGCTGCGGGTGTGGAACCGGTCCCCGGTGGGGCTGGTGGTGCTGCGCGTAAAAGGACTGGATCGGAAGGGGGTGCCCGGGGGCCGCCCCGCTTCCCCGCCCCCCGCCGGGCGTCGAGGGAGAGATCTGCGGAGACGCGTAGGTGTCCATCGGGCTCTCCGCCGCGGAAAAGGCGTCCTCCTCCGGTCCCCGGGCCCACCGGCTCCCGTAGAGGTCGTGGGACTCCGCCTGCCGCTTGCGCAGGGCAGCGGTGGCGTTCGAAGGGGGCCGGGGGGAGGGGTGGCCGGGATTCCCCTGGGTTCCGCCGCCGCCGCCCGCTGGGTCCGTGGTTGTCGCGTGGTGGGGGGGCCGGGGGTCCGGCCCGCCGGCAAACTCGAATTCCTTGTTGAGATCGAGGGGTTTCAGGATCATGGAGGGTGTTGGCTTGTGGTGGAGTTGGTGGTGCTGGTTCCCGGCCTTGTGCGGGGGCTTTCCGTCGGCGGCCTCGTCCGCAAAGAGGCGGCTTCGGACGCCCTGGTTCGGGCCGCCCGTCCCCGGAAAGGGGGACCTCCGCGTTCTCCGCTGCGCGAGGGGAGGGGAGCCGATCGCCATCGACGAGGACGATTCSTGGAAACCCCCCGGAGCCGCCGAGGCGTTCGAGGCCTCGTCCATGGACACGTCCGAGTCCGCCGGGGGACCACCAACACCGGTTCGATCGGGGGAGAAGAGGTCCTTCATGCTGCTGTGTAGTGGTTCTCGTGGTTGCTGCTGCTTTTGTTGTTGTTGTTGTTGTTGCTTATCCCACTACTAGACTGCCAACGTTTGTGCCTTTGCTGCACGAATCCGGAAGGAAGTCCTGTAGCGCTTTCGATGGATCGCGGTGCACGTATCGTATTGTATTGTATCGTATCGTATCGTTTGTGTTGTGTTGTGTTGCGTTGTATCGTTCCGTGCTCGGCTGCGTTCGGGTTTGGAAAATCGAATCGAATCGAATCGAATCGAATCCGCAACGATTCACTCGCTCCGTCGTTCCGCTTCGGAGAGTCTTCTCGCGAACAATTCGATTGTGTTCGATGTTCGATGTATTGCAATGGGCTGGAACGGATGGTTTGTTTGGTTTGGTTTGGTTTGGTTTGGTTTTGTTTTGTTTTGTTTCGTTGTATGTAGTGCTGTGTCCCGGTAGGGGTGGGGACTGCTGGAAGCGATTGACACCAAATGCCTACGTAGCTTGGGTTCTCGAGCTCGGAGGGGAGGTTTGGGTGATCCAGACCAAGAAGCAGCTAGGGTTCCGGTACCGGCACCGTTCGGAATCATGCAAYACGTATCGTGCGATACTACGAAACAAATACGATACGATACTTAATCGATATGGTTTGCGGCACCCTCGAATCTTCATTCAAATCTCCTTCGTGTTTTGTTGCATTTGTTCGGGGGGTTACGCAGGCTAGCATAATACCTGTTCCGTACGTTACCGGGATACGGGCCGCCCTACCATTTCCCCGCGGGAGAAGAAACATCATCAAACTACGAGTTTCGTTCCGTAYGGTACCGTAGTACTCGTACTGTGGTCCTCATTTTTCACGCCGGTACGGTATGTAGGGGTAGGTAGGCAAGACCACCCTACGCTTCGCTACGCTGCCCTACGGGACGGAAGAGGAAGGTGGAAACCCACCGACCCTCCAGCGCAAAAGGGTCGCCCGCCCGCGCCGAGTTTTTGTCCTGAACAGAAATCCGAGGGCAGGGTTTTGCGCGGTTCCGAATTTACTTAGGCAATCCGGATTTCAAACGAGGCGATCGTTCTCGGCGAAACGAGACCGGAGACGGCGCGAAAAACAAAACAAAACAAAACAAAACAAAACAAACCCCAAACCTTAAAACCCGCTCCGCTCCGCACCAACCCAAAACCCGGGTATGGATTAGGGATAGTATAGTAGGGTACGATACGTATATAGGATACATATTCGTGAGGCCCGAAGACACGCGCTGAGCCGTGCGCAAAATGTTTTGGGGGATATTCCGGGGGACCGAACATCGATCGGCACTTCCGAATGGGGGCAACGCGGGTCGTTGCGGCTGGACGGCCCGTCCGTCCGTTTGCCCAATTTGCAACCGCCGGAAAAAAATAGTAAGTGTGGTAAGCTGGTAAGAGCCCGTACAACCCACCCGTACCGTAGATTTTTACAGGATTCCAAGGCACAACGACACCCGTTTCCACGCCGCAACCTACCAGGCACCGAACRGGAAACCCACCAAACGCCGCACTCCCCGCTGCATCGACACCGCCTCGCGAGACAAACGMCACACTAGATCTGTAGAAGGAAGGTGAGGAAGCCCCGCAGCGGCCCRTCGAGATGGTGAACCTGTAGAATCGAAATCAATYAATGCAAACCCATGTAGTAGAGCTACCCCAGCACGTCCCATTGGAGATTCGGTTGGAACGGAGGTGGGGGAGGGAGGGGACCCGTGCGTCCGGTRGAGCCGGGAGGAGKTTCCGGCCGAGAGAGAAAGMGGCAAGGCGGCGGCGACAAACACACCAACCACCAGACAAACAACACCTGTAGCCCCGCGGTGCCTCCAGGCASCATGGTGTTTGCCCGTTTGTTTTGGTMCCCGTTGGTTTTCGCGCCCGCAGTGYACCTCGATTCCGGAGGTGTCCACGCCGCTTCTCGGGAGCCGGACACCCACGGGAATCGTTCGATGGGGAAACTCCGCTRCGCACCCTTCCGCCCGTCACCCTCGATGCCCTCCATCCGTRGAATCCCTTTTGGAAGGGAGCCAGCACAGCAGACAGTATTTACCCACCTTAAGMACGTATTTCTCACGATGCCTCTTGCGTTTGTTCCGTTTGTCCCACAGAATTTTTGTTGAACCCGCAACACCGCCAACACACACAAACATTCAAAATGGTAAGCGCACCCAAGCAAGATTTGGTCACTCGTGATTACACGATCCACCTCTCCAAGAAGACGCACAAGGCCCAGCACAAGCGTCGTGCTCCCCGAGCGATCAAGGCGATCCGACAGTTCGCCCAGAAGGCCATGGGAACCCAGGACRTCCGAATCGACGCCGGCCTCAACAAGTACGTCTGGAGCACCGGAATCAAGAACCCACCCACCCGAGTCCGCGTGCGTCTTTCACGAAAGCGCACCGAAGACGAAGACGCCGACGAAAACCTATACACTCTTGCACAACTCGTCGAGGTCTCGTCTTTCAAGGGACTGCAGACAGAAAACATTATCGAGTAAATAGCCAGCAAAC